GCCAAATCTAGCCCAATTTTGAAACTGGATAAATTCTGATTGCTGCGAGCGATTTTATTTCTGTTTGAAACGTTATTTAGTGCGATTCTTGTTAGTTGATGTTTTTGCAAAAAAAATAGTGCCTCAGATAAGTTTGCAGGTAGCAAATGAAACAATGCAAATTTCGTGAAAGTTCCACATGCTCTCAGTTGGACAAAAAACACGTTTTGTTGTATTTCAACACCACATACATTAAGATTTTTGTCAACTTTTTCTTTTTATTACTTAATAATGCGCGAATATTTTTCTGCTTTTCTATGACGTTGTTTACTTAGAGCCGTGCAAATCATATATTTATGTATTATGAGGGACTTTATTTGCGGACTTCTTTCGTATTTGAGAAATTTGCGTCAATTATACAATTAAAACTGTAACAATTTTGGAAAAAAGATAAATTAGAACGATTAAATTGGATAAATACATATTGAAAACGCTGTAGTTTTGTGTCAAGGTTGAACCGTTTATTTCAGAAAATGTTTGTCATTAAATCTTGTTTTACGTGAAATCTTGTGTGGAAGATTGAAAGGAAATTTTTCCAATAACTGTATAGTTTTTTGGATTTTGCTTTCAATTTTAAACAGCCCTCAATTGAAAATTGTTAACCTTTTTCGAGTTTTTGTCCGAAAACCTGATTTTTTCGTTAAAGTTCATTTTTTTTTCAGCCGAATTTTAGTAAAACGTTGTCTCCAAATCACCAGTTTTGGAAACATTTAACATTTACTGACTTAGTGCGAGACAGTCTATCCGCACCAATGCCTTTTAAAATATGCACATATACATTATTGTCGCTTTACATTGAAATGGATCCAAAAAATGATACGTCATGGACTGATAACGGAAATTATCCTCGCAACAAACATTACGAACGAAATTAACTATAAAATCCTGCCAATGACGCAATATTTTCACTTTTTGTTTAAAGTACTTCAATTCAGGCACGCTTCTGGCATGCAAAACTGCAAGCTGTGTGAGTGTTATTTTCAGGCTGAACCCAGCTAATCGAGGGTTAAAAGGTCCTGGGGGTGCCTGAGACTAGCAAATCTCCAAATCCGCACCTACTTACCCCAGAAATATTCTGCGAAAAATCGATGAAAAAAAAACATTTTCCACTAATTGAGAGTATTTGTTAGTATAGTCATTCAATAGTTTATTGGTTATAACTATTAATGTTGTGGTGTAACTTGACAACATCATTTAGGTTAATGGGTTATGCATGTTTGTAGTGGCTCGTGGTCAGGCGTGAGATAAACGTGGTAAATTGTTGTTTATTTTGCATAAATTGCCGTTTAATTAAATAAATATCAATTTTTTGGGCCTGCATAGTTGGGTGTGGTGGCCAAAATGCTTGTGGCTCTATCTGAAACAACGTTAACATAATGGGCGAATTAAGTCATAAAATTCAAATTGCACGCTTGAATATGACTTAATTGGTAACGCCCGAACGAGGCAATGACAAATTGGGCTAATCTGGGTGGTTTTATTCACTTTGATTTTTACCCTTTTCAAGCCTTTTTTCGTTCCTGCTCTAAATAGCAAATATATCAAAATTGTTTTTCGGTATTAAAGTCAGTGAAAAATGTCAATAATTTGCCTGATATTAAAACAGCAGTAAATGTCAACTAATAGCAGCGAAGCTTGTAAATTGAAGCAACTTTTACTAGCAGAAACGTTTTAAGTTACAAAAGTTACACAGGTTTTACGAGCGTGTGTGACTCGAAAGTAACAAAAACCGCTGGGTGGCTCTAAAAGTGTCCCAATTTTATTGAAGGATTATTTCTTCATTCAATAAACTAACTGTAAACTAGCATTTAAAACGTAAGAAGCTGCAAGCAAAGCTTGTTAACATGTGAGTGTTAAATTTTATTTTGCAATCTATTGTTTAAGCGCAAGTAGTTCTAATAGTAAAATGGTAAACGGATTATCGGTTTTGTTGATTTTGGTCAAATTTTCTCAGCCTTGACTGGTGTGAAAAGTGTTCTTGTGAATTGAGAAAATCTTCTGAATAACTGACGATTATCAAAAAACTTTTGTTGAAAGTCTGAGTTAAGAAATTTTATTTAAAAAAATTATAAATGTCCATTTGTTTCATGTGCGCTTAATATGACATATAACTTTCTGAAGTCTTGGAAAATCTAAAATTCTTCAGCTGTACCTCTTTAGTTGCCACCAGTTTTTTTTATCTTAATTTGCGTCTTTTCCGCATCGTTTTCTTCAACGTTTTTCTCCTTTAATTAATTAAAAAAAACGTACAAATTTGTAAGTTGTTAAGCAGCATTCGAGTTTCCTTCCTTGCTTTCTTCCGACGCCTTTTACCTTTTTTTTTTGTTAACATTCTAATATTCTTTACGTCTAATCGCATGGAGAGAGTGAACTATCAAAAATATAGTGACCAGTAACCAGAAAACTGACACATTTGTTAAACAAATAAAAATCATCGCACTAATAATTATCAGTATTTGACAGTAACTGAAACTAGTAACTTTTTTCGGGGTTTTAGAGCTGAAAATCTCACAGTTTTTAGCAATGACGGTGAAGGATTCTTTTGGTTGAGGAATATTAATGCAACTGAACACTTGAAAGAATCAGCCAATTAAAAACATTCCAAAAAATTTAGATAGCAATAAATTTGAATTTACGAAAATGTGTAACAAAGCTATTTTTGGATTTGATGAAAACAGCAAATTTCCTCAGTTTGCCAAGTTTAACGGCATAATATTGAGAGACTTTTACGTTATTACTGAAACACTATCAGCTCGATATCTGCGGAAATTACTCGATTAATTAAGCAAGTAACGCACGTTGCGCTACTGATCGAATTAGGTTCGTTAACCCAATGATCATGAACTTGCCTTGGCTTATACCGATTTGGGTTTAATTACTGGCGAATTGAATTTAAGCCGATTTCAACACGTCTAGCCAGATAAAAAAAAACTGCACAAACATTTACGCTTTTCGGTTTATGGGGGGCTTCTTACGCAACTGGGCAAACCGGTGCTAAAGTTATCTGTTTAGTTAGATAGTTTAGATAGTATCTGCTATCTGGGTGTATCAAATGGATGTAGATTCAAGCAATGAGGATTTTTTTGTTTCAAAAAACAGGCACAAACAACACTAAAACTATTGACTTTTTTAACAAAAAACGTAAAAAAAGTATCTACAGCAGGAAATCTGCCCAAAGCCAAACTTATTTGAAATCTGCAAAGCAAAGAGAGAAAACTATAAAGAATCCATAAAACTCCTTGTTTGTCGGAAAGCTAAACTCAGTTCAAGCTAAAAGATTGCTAGATTAGAGATCATTCTTACTAGCTGTTTGCAAGCTGGCGCCCCATCCTCCATTTTCTATCCATTCATTCGCAAAAAAATTCTAAATTTGCAATCTCAGAACGCGATTCACACGACAGAAAGGATTATGGACCGATTTCGTCCACTGTCGGTAGCAAACTAAATATTCATAAATTAAAAAAAAAAAACATATTTTTGTAGAACGCATTAAGACTTGCTGCCTTTGCTGGTTCATTAACGCAAAATTCACCTTTTCTGCATTCTGCTGCAGAAGTTGGTTTTTAAACCAAGCAGATTCGTGGCCATTATTTAACCAAACAGAAAAGTACACTGCTCACATGGCATTGGCAAAATGGAAAATTCGTCCACCTTCAACAGCATTTGACTTTTTCAAAATATAATCTAATTCGAGTTGTGTAGAAAACCCACATTTTTCCTCGCAGTGTATTTTAATCGAATCAAACCTAATTAACAGACGATGATTTATGAAGCGATGAGCCCTTAATTAATACAAATCTGTGATTATAAATAAATGCTATTATCGAAGCAATTGGTTAATTTTCCGCAACGAATTAATCCGTTTAATATGCTGCTGTGTTTTTATAACGCAAAGATAAAAGGTGAATTCATCAGCACGCTGAAAGTAGGTTTTAAGTTGTTTAATAAAAACTTCAAGATTGATTATCCATGTTCAGTCTTTGATCTCGGTTCGCAAATGCGTCATGTTGGACTCATTTGGCACTCGGATCAACCTCAATATTGATAGAATTTTATTAAAGTTTACGGCTTTTTCTTCAACAATCCAAATATATTCTGGATGAATTTTGCCACAGTCGTTAATATTGGGAATTAATTTTCGATTAAATTCACGCAACCTAATTGATTACACAAGTAGGTTAAGGTTCTGGCGCATCCTAGAAAAAATCTACTGGCTTGTTTTGATTGATTCTGGGTAAACTTCGCTAAAATTGTTTAAACATTTATCGGTTTCGGGTCAACATAAATCTCTCTCTGCCTGAATGTTTCAATAACATTTCCATATTTTACATGCTGCATCGTGCATTAAAACAGTATGGGTCATGTGTCGTATATGTGGCCAAAATATCATTCTTATTATCTACCTTAATGCCCTATTGTTCAGTGAAATGAGCATTGTAAGTTTCGTTTCAACGTGGCCCCCCATATCGGCTCATCCATTCACAGTATTGTATTCGGCAGTTAAGCTCACAGACATAAAAACTCACTGTAATTCGCCTTAAAATTACGATTTTTGTTCTTTTTTTTCTGTGTTGAATTACCGAACAAAGGCGTTATTGTATGACGTGGGTCATTTGCAAGTTGAGGACTTTTAAATGAAGGAAGTTGTGCAAAATTAAACAGAAATCCAACTGATTTGAAAACACAAAATTTATAACAATCTCAATTTGAAAATTCATAACTTTCATATTGCTTTGCGACCAATAGTTAGCAGTCTAAGTTCAGCTTTTATTTATAAAATAAATTTTTGTTTTTGTCTTGTGTATTGTTTCTGGCCTCCTTTTTCATAAATTTCAATTCGACTTTAATCAAAAATTCCTTTATTGCAAACGTAAACATGTTAATTTTTAAACTGGTTTTGAAACCAAGTACACCGATTTATTTCAATGTTTTTGACTTTAATTTTTTCGTTTTTTTTTTAGATTTATTTGCTGTCTTTCTGATTGACAGTTGGGAGAAATGTCAAGACGTCGGTGTACGTCAGCAATAGCGCTCGGCGCAATAGTGTTTTTGTGCGCAACCGTGATAATTGTGTGGGTGCAGTTTAGTCAGGGCGCATTTGATAAACGACGGCTTAGCGATGATGCTAATAATAGTACGGCCCTGCATTTTGGGACGATGATGCAAGAAACCACCTCAAAATCGATCAAGCCCGTCAAATTTCAATCGGTTACATTTGAGGCCGATATGAGTGAGGAGACGAAAGCCAAACCTACTCCACATAAAAAGAAAGGTAAGAGTTTTTTTGTGCCGCTTTATGTGTTTTAACTTAGTTTTTATTCAAACGTTATTTTTCCAAAAATTGAGTTTGTTTAAACTTTTGGATAAAAACTCTACTGCAAAGTTTGTCGGAAAAATACTGAGCATTTTGTAGCAATTTGTGATGCTATTTGTTTCCTATTTCTTCAACTCTTGCTCATGATTTATTTCCAAATCAATTGGTGATCTGATGTTTTATTTTATGATTTTTGCCATTCTTCCATTATCCCACATTTATAAATCATTTTGATTGAATGGTAAATGGGAAAGTATTTGCTATTCAATCACAATGATTTATAAATGTGGGATTATGGAAGGAATGGGAAAGTATTTGCTATTCAATTACAATGATTTATAAATGTGGGATAATGGAAAGACGGGATGAATGAAAATGAAAAAAATAATAAAATAAAACATCAGAACACCAATTGATTTGGAAATAAAACATGATCAAGAGTTGAAGAAATAGGAAACAATTAACATCACAAATGGCCACAAAAAGCGAAGCATTTTTAGTCTTTTTCTGGTCTTTAGAACGTACAATTTCTAAAATTCAAGAAATTTCCATATGTAGAGCAGTCGATTGTCAGGGTAAATTTTGAAAATTTAAAAAAATTTGAGCTAACGTCGGTTTACAATTAATAATGTACATTTTTTTTATTATTTGGACTTTTGGACAGTTACTAGTCCCATTTAAACGTTATACTTTTGAGACATTAAAAGTGTCGTAAATGAGAAATAGCCGATTTTCAGGGTAGATTTTTAAAATCTGCAAAAATTCAAGTTGGGATCGGTTTAGAATTAAATTGGAAGGATTTAAAGACTGAAGTTCTTGATATTTGGTCACGTTTGGATCTTAGACTTTTGAGGCGATGAACGTGTCACAAATGAGAAACAGTCGATTTTCAGAGTAGACTTTAAGAATTTGCAAAAATTCTAGTTGGTGTTTAGAATCATATTTTAACGACTTGAAGTCTCTGTGGTCCTTTGGATGTTAGAATTTTCAGATCGCAAACATGTCGAATGACAAAACACTCGGTTTTCCGGTCATAATTGCAAAATTTACAAAAACTCAAGCTGGAGTCGGTCTTGAACGATATCTTCAGAATTGAAAAACTGAACGATCTTCGATATTCCCGATGTTCAGGGTACATTTGAAAATATTCAGAAATTGAAGGTGGTGTCGGTTGAGACTCAAATTTTGAGGACTTTGAGTCTAAATGTTCTGCTATTGTGTGTGAAATTTTGAAGGAGCCGTGTGGTCCCGTTTGAAAGTTACAATTTTCAGACTCCAAGCGTGTCCAATGAAAAATTGGTGATGTTCTGACCATAATTGTAAAATTTTTAAAAACTCAAGCTGGCGTTAGTTTAGAACAATTTCTTCATAATTGGAAGACTTCTGATTGATCCTTCTTCTATATCATTTGAAAATTTCAGGCCAATGGTTTGGAAATCATACTTTTGAGGCGATAAACGTGCCATAAATGAGAAACAATCAATTTTCAGGGTTGATTTTGGAAAAATTGCAAAAATTCCAGCTGGGGCCGATTTCGAATGAAACTGTGAGGACTTGAAATCTGAAAGTTCTTCTATCATATGTAAAATTTTGAAGGAATTGTGTGGTCCCGTTTCCAAGTTGGACTTTTCAGACTTCAAGTGTGTCCAATGGAAAAAAGTCGATTTTCTGGCCGCAATTTTAAAATTCGAAAAACTCATGCAAAAATTCAAGCTTGCGTCGATTTAGCATTAAACGTTAAGGACTTGGACACTGGTGCCTTTTCGAAAAAATCGATTTTTCGGCCATAATTGTAAAATTTATAAAACTTCAAGCTGGTGTCTGCTTATAATGATCATCAATGATCTGAAAAGAAAACCTGGGCGAGGAAAACCTGAATTAAGCTTCAATACTCTACATTTCCTCATCGAAGCCCTTTTCGAACGTAAAACCAACTGGTAAAACCCTTTAGTCCAGAATTAATCTCCCCAAAGAACAATGGCAAATATCGGAGATAATTCTGTATATTCTGTATTAGTACGTGCGTCAATGTGCTTCTGTTCTGGTGGCTAGTTTAGTCACGATTTCCACCTGATTTGTCGCATACATTTCCCATTGTCGTCGTCGTCGTTCCACCATAATAAATTACACTAAAAATACCACATTGACGTGCATTAAAACCCAAATTAGTTTCGCAGTTCTACCTTAAAGTAGTAGTTAGTAGTAGTAGCGGGGGTAATTACATGTTTAATGGGTTCGTTAACACCTCCCTGTCTAACCGATCGTCTGCCTGAACGAATTCCGGACAAATTGTTCGACTGGCTTTGCCAATTTCAATTTGAGAGGTCAATTTGCAACATGGTCTCGTTGAAAACAATAAATCATAGTTTTAAAAATATCCACACCGATTAGTTATCAATGGGTGTTTATAAGCAGGCACGTTGATTGCTCTAATGCGAGGGGCGATGCTGGAACGAATTTCGAAAATGGTTTTTCAGTGCTAACTGTTTGAAAAAAATTCTCATTTTGCTGTCGGTTTTTTGAGCAATTGTTTCAATTTAAAATTGAAAATTCCCTCATACTTCAGGCATTTTAATTCAAACCATTCCAATTCAATCAGTTCCCTATTGAGGCACACCTTTTCTGTTGTTTTTCAAAAACAAGTCCAATATAAAAGTGCAAATATTGAACGATTTTACAATTACTTCGTCATCGCTGATGTAACACGATGATTGGTTAAATGCTGGATATAAATGGTGCAATCAGTTACAATCGTTGAAAGAGCAGCGAATTGTTATTAGTATGTTAATATGTTGAGCAAATAATGACTTCTGGAGGCTCTTCTGCATTTTTAAGTGGACATTTTGGTTTAGATATAAAAGGTAGAAAAACCCGAATTAAGATAAAATAGTAGTTGGTCGACCAGGGACATCGAAAGCAAGTTGTTTCAGTGGCGGGCAGAATTTCGTGCTTTAAATATCAATTATTAAAAAAAAAACAATGCTCCAATCGCATTTACAGCCCACGTTTATACGTAAGCTCTATATCGTCCTAGATACATTGAAGCCCCTACTATTATGTAATATACGGAGTGAGCTCTAATAACTATGGCTTCTAATTGTTGAACTTTGAACATTTTTTGCGCGGGTTTTCATTTGCGCCTCATGCTCTTCTGAAGCTCGCTCCGGAAGAATCACTCTAGATGACCGAATGTGGGTTCTAGAAACCCACAAAGGAGGATGCAGTGTATATGTGTTCTGATCGTCGTTTGGTTCCACTCACTGGTTCCTTCAAAATGAATTATTTCACTTTCTTCATATCAACTTTGAGCGCGTTTTCTTTTACGCGCCATGCCCTTCTGAAACTCGCTCCTGAAGAACCGCTTCATATATCCGAATGCGGGTTCCAGAAACCGAGAAACGAAAATCCATTCTATTCGTGTTCTGATCATGAGTCGGTTCCACTCAGTGGCACCTTCAAAATTGATTCTTCCACTTTGAACATTTTTTGCGAGAGTTTGCTTTTACGCATCATGCTCTTCTCCAACTCGCTCCTGAAGAACCACTCCAAATATCCGAATGCGGGTTCCAGAAACCAACAAAGGAAGACTGATGTTACTTGAGTGCTAATTGTTGTTGGGTTCCAGTCACAAGTTCCATAAAAAAAATCCCTAAAAACTTTTTTTTTCGCGAAGTTTCATTTGAGCATCATGCTCTTTTAAAGCTCGTTCCTCAAGAACCACTGGAGGTATCCGGATGCAGGTTCTAGAAACCGTCAAGGGAAAATGCAGTGTATTTATGTTCTGATCGTGGTTTGGTTCCTTTCACTGGTTGCCTCAAAATTAGTTCTTTAACTTTGCACATTTTTTGGGGCGCGGGGTTTCATTCACGCACCATGCCATTCTGAAGCTCGATTCTGAAGAACCACTTCAAATATCTGAATGATGGTTACATCAATTGATGCCGAAAATTTCACATTATATATGGATATATATTATTGAAAAGGATTTATTTTGAGTTTCCGAAAAAAAACCTGAAAACTCACCCTGAAACAGTCGGGAACATTTTTTATCGATTTCTTGTGGTTCAGTTGCCTACCAAGTGTAGGTGTGAAAATTGCGTATTTTTGCTAACAAATATTGCTTCTGACTCTCATAAAAGTATGCAAATTAGCAAGGTCGTCTCAAGGTAGACGTGCTAGAGACGTCCAAATCTATTCGAACATGTGAAATCCAATCTATAGCTCGTTGGCAAGGTTGTTGCTTGACATCTTCATGAAAAAGTATTTTATTTGCACGATTTATTGCCTTTGATTCGTGCTGCGGTTGTTATGATTTAATGGCAGGTTGTTACAGAGCAAATTTGCAACAGAATAAAAACACTTTAATTTTTTCTCAGCTAAACCAAATATTTTAAATCGACTGACGTCGAGTTTAGTGATTAATTTTCCATCAGTCGTCAACGAGAGTCACATTTTGGGCGTGCAAGCCAAAAGAAAAATAAAACCGAAAATAAAACATTCTCACGATTAAGGCAGGCGTAAGACAAACAAATGGTGTTGAAGGATGTGAAGTATAAGTAACCACTCTCTGGTGATTCGAAAAAAGCTATTTGTCTTAAGCATTCCTCTCAGTCAATGTCGGGGTCATTGTCACTGGGTCAATAGGAGCTAAAACGGGGGAAAAGTTCTACAAACTGATGAGCAATTTTGCATTGGAATAGAAAAAAATCACTTTTGCTTTCATTTGCTCACATCTAGTTTCCCGATTCTAAGCTGGCCATTTTAAATTCCATGACCTGGAGTTGGAAAAGTTCTGCGGGCATTTAATCTCGGCCGAATCTGCGTCCATCTGGTTTGCATTTTTTTTCCACTTTACGTTCAGTTTTGTAACGAGCATTTCAGCCAACAGACAGACAATGTGTTGTTCGCAAAAACGCAAAATCCCATGCGTTCGCTTTTTCATTGAATAAAACCACTTC